AGAGAGAGAGAGAGAGAGAGAGAGAGAGAGAGAGAGAGAGAGAGAGAGAGAGCGCTTTGTTTGTTTCCAAGCTGAGAAACAGTCTCACCTAAGATAAGGCTGCCTGGTTATTTTACTTTTAACAACTATCTGAAGAGGAAGAAGCAAAAACAATTCACAATACGTCCCGGATTTAATTTAGTATTTTCAGTAATTGAAGTAGTCGACTGCAATGGCAGGTTTTTATTTCTTGTTGTTAGGTGGTTTTAAAATAATACCTAACTAAGCTTTTCAAGACCATGTTTTCAGTATTGTGTTATTGAAATTAGCAAGAAATAAAGTGAAATTTAAGATATCCAAGCCATAGACACACTTTGATACTAGTGAGCAGTTATTTATTTAACTCAAAATTTAATAACATTTTTTGCTTTCAAATGCACCTCACCAGCTAATGTAGCTATACCAGTTTTGACTTGCATTTTATCACTCTTATTTTTATAGAAAAAAAATAAGAAATAAGTATTTTAAATGGTTAGCTGTCTTGATGTGCACAAAGGTGGAATTTTACAAAATTATATTTATTTTCACTATCGGATATTTAATTTTTAATTTATTTAATATATTCTAAAAGCAGCAATAACCTGAAAGTAAAGGCAAAAACATAGTTGTATGATTCAGTTTTAGTCAATTGGCTTTATTATAAACATATTTACAATAAGTGTGGTCATTTTTTTTGTGAGAAATTGAACAACAGAATGACTTTTAGGTCTTATTAATTTTTTCCTATAAATACTTAATTGTAGATGGACACAATATCTTTGTTTATTTATTTTTATGTGGCACTGAGAATTGAACCCAGTGCCTCCCAATTTTGAGGCAAGTGCTCTACTACTGAGTCACAACTCCAGCCCCAGTTTTTACTAATTTAAAAAACAAAAACAAAGTATTCCTCCATTCTATATTTGATTATAATTTTGTATACACTAACTTGTTAGAAAATTTACTCAAATTAGTTACTTTAAGTCATAGTATTTTCAATATAGGCTTTAGAAATTTTTAATATTAAAATTAAACTTGGGAATTAGATTGATGAGCAGAAAATGAATGAATCTGCTACCCCATTTACCTTCCCTGAGAATAATGGTCATAATTTTTTACATGGTGTAAAGAAAATATAAACAGGGATAATTGTAATGAGAATATTTCTCTTCTTTGAGCAATCACATGCTAAAATACCAGTGTGTTGGCTAAAAACAAAACAAGGCGCTTCTTGATGACTATTTAAGAGGAAGCTAAATACATAGATGAACAACCCAGTGGGAAACAGTGCAGAGGCCTGGAAGTTGGTCTTAGGTAAAATTGCTCCACAGCACTGAACTTTCAGCTGAGAAGAACTGGTTGACATACTTCATAATTTACATTTTGAGGTGAAAGTCTTTCAGTCTCAGCATTCTGTCCAAACTCGACTGTATTTTTAGGCTAAAGAATTATTTTAGTATACATATATCCAATACCTCAGAAAACTTGAGGTGAGGACAAAGAATCCTGAAGAAAGTCCTGCGCTCTTGGACATCCATTTAAACTTCAGTTCCCTCACCCGAAAACTGGTTTTAAAAGAGCTTGATTACAAGATTAGATTCACTGTCTTCAAAATACATACGTTTGATGTTATTGTGGGAGATCCAGGAAAGAGCGTGAAACTACAGTGGTCCAGGCATTTCCAGTTAAGGTTCAAATGATATGAGGTTAGATGGAAAAGAGGGAAGGAAGACTTCAAAGTGGAGAAATAGAAGTGGGCACTGGTAGTCTTAATTATGCCTTATATGACATTTTTAATATTCTGTCCAGTTCCTTTTCACATTTGAAGTATTTGGGAACACCTCTGTAAATGTTGTATTAGAATGTGTGATTAAAATATTAGAGATTTCTCTGTTTCCCTCACTTCATTGGACCAAGCTCTTTCATGGAAACTGCTTCCTTAAATTTAATCACTTGGAAAAGAGAATTTGAGGAGGTTAATGCAGAAGCAAAGGGAGTGCCTGTGTTTTCTCTCTGGAATATTTAACATTCATGTTTTGGGATAGTCTGGCTTAAGTTTTGAACAATTACTTGTACAAAAATACTGGTTTGGAGCCTCTATGTTAAAACAGAAGACCAAGTTACTCCTCAGCAACTTGGTTCAGCCTGAAGTTGATTTGTTTTTCAGTAATGTTGATGTACTGGGAGTATCATCAGGATAGTCTACATACATCTGGATAGTCTTCTGGTAGTTTTAAAAGCATCAGCTTTCAATAGGACAATATATGGCAATAGTGTTAGAGCTTAGACTTAGGTCTTTAAAATTCTCAAAATTTTTACCCCTTATAATGATTTCTTGTACACTGTACTTGACAGCTGGTCATCTAGATTTGTTTTTAGACAATTTCAAAGATAAAAAAAATACTTTTTATGTTTATGGCATGCAAGTTCAATATAAGAATGTTCTGAATTTTTAAAAAAAATCCTTATTTTAAGTTGAACTATGCCTTTCTATAGTCCAGTTCCTTGCTGTATTAAGAAGAATTCTATATTGCCACTTAAGAAATGTCATTACTAGTCAAAAATAGAGATCCCACATTGCATTTTTATTACAATTGTTTCCAGAATTAGGACTCTTTTCTAATAATCTTTGATGTGCCTTCTTAATTTTTATTCCAGGATGTTCTTTTCTTTCTATAAAATACGTCTGAGAGATTTCTCACCCATATCAAGATTTCTCAAGATCACAGACTATTTCTTATTACTGTAGTTCTAATGCCTAAAAAATGTTTGTCATCTAATAAGCATGTAACAAATATTTACTGGATAAGTGAACATCTATCATTTATTCAATATTTATCATTTTTATGTGCAAACAGAGAATTCAAGCACCATTATGACATTATCTCCCCATTTTCAAGGAATTTTAAAATAAGCATTTAGAGTTAAAATGAAATAAGTGCTACTGAAAAAGTTGAACAAAATCCAACCAGGCTTCTAAGAATGCAGAGTCTACGTCCAGTAAGTTTTCTTGACAAAGCTTTTTTTTTTCTCCTTTGCCAGGTTATCAAAGAATAGTTATGATTTCAGCATATGGAAATTGCATAAGAGAGAACATCTAAGGTGGACGCGGTGATGAGAGAAAAGGTACAGAAGCAGGAAAGGATCCCTCCTTTGGAGATAACAGTGACTTCTGACTGAATCTGAACAGATGGGTCTTCGTGGGTTCCCCACCCAGTTTATCACTATAAGATCAGACTCTTTTGTCCAGCCCTATTTCCATGTCTGTCCATGCTTCAACACTCCTGAGCATAAAAATAGAACTGGGTCTTTGGGTCTTCATTGTGAAGGTTTTCATGTCACATAAAAATAAGATCAAATCAGTTCAAAATGCTTTTCTCTTGTTGCCTGTCTTTTGGTGTCAGCAATGACCCTTTATCACAGGCAGGAAGAGGATTATTTCCCCTTTTTGTCTCCCAAGCCAGTAATTCTCTCACTGGGTTACATTAAGACATTAAGAAGAATTCTGTATTGCCAGCAGCGAGCCCCACACTGGTTTTGTCCAATCATAGAACATCCACCCTCATCCTCCTTATTTCTAAACCACATGCAAGTCTTTAAGGGATATAATGTCAGAAATTTTGTCATGAAGAAAAAATATAGGTTTGGGTTCTGTGTTTGGGTTCCACTTTCTTAAAAATAACTGAATAAATAACAAGTGATTCACATAGAGCTCCAGAGAAACTAACCATTAAGTGATTTAGTATACTCAATTGCTATGCAAATCACATAAGGAAAGAAATGAGATGGACCTAGGGGAGGAGATTTCTCCCCAAAATGCTTTTATGTAAATGTAAATTTTAGATTTTGACTTTGGCTTCTTTGGATTCTTTGCTAAAATATAAGATTCTTCTAAAATATTAAAGTTTTATTCTAAGCTTGGGGAAAGAAGATTATGAGTAAGGATGTAATAATACAGTACAGGCACAAATTTCATCATAATCTACAAATATGTAATACCTATTCTTAACACCCTGGTGAATTGAGAAAATAAAAAAGGAGAGAGAAAGAAGATTATCGAGTTACTTGCCATAGCTTTCTAATTGGTCTTTTCGTCTTAGAATTTATCCTTTTCTAGGCCTTCTTTTTGTTCTAGAATTATTCACCCAAAATATAAATAATAATAATTCCCTATTCCATTCTGATTGTCTGTAACAGTTTTCAATGCTCTTTAGCATCTGACATCTTTCTGCCTTTTAAACTCATGTCCTTCAGCATTCCCTCTGGCCTTTTTATCAACACAGAAAACATTATTTTCACAGCGTCCTGCCTTTAGACAGAAGCTTCCTCGATTTTAAGTCTGATGAGCTCCTGTTCTTCCCTCACACACTAGCCAAAGTGATTACCAAGGCAGCACATACACTAAAATTAGAACAACAGAGGGAAAATTAGCATGGTCTCTAAGCAAGAGTGACATGCAAATTTGTGAAGCATTTAATTTTTTAATACTGTATGATTTCACTTAATGGGGTACCTGGAATAGTCAAATTCATAGAGACAGACATAGGATGATAGCTGCCAGGGGTTGGAAGAAGAAAGAATGAGCAGTTGTTCAATTGTGCAAGATAAGAAGAGTTCTATGAGGGTGGCAACAGTAGCACAACTATGTGAATGTACTTTATGCCACTGAAATGTTCATCAAAAAAAAAATGGTCAAGAAGGTAAATTTTTCCCAGGGACTCAGGAGGCTGAGACAGGAGGATCACGAGTTCAAAACCAGCCTCAGCAAAAAACAAGATGCTAAGCAAGTCCGTTGAGATCCTGTCTCTAAATAAAATACAAAATAGGGCTGGGGATGTGGCTCAGTGGTTTAGTGTCCCTGAGTTCAATCCCCAGGACCACCCTCTCCAAAAAAATTTTATGTAATGGATAATATACCACCATACAAATTAATAATGATTAAAAAAACAAAAAGGAAGAACAGCTATGAGCTGGGCTTCATGGAGCAGGTCTGTACTCCCAGCTACTCAGAAAACTAAAGAAAGAGGACTGGGAATTGGAGGCCAACCTGGGCAACATAATGAAACTCTACTTCAAAAATTAAAAAACAAAAACAAACAAAAAAGTTAAAATTCCATGGATTCTTTCCTTTATAATCATTCCTATTCTCAGAGTGAACTAGGTATTTCCGTTCTTTAATCTATAGGCTGAATACCTACATCCAAGTGTTTGCTGAAGACTATAACCTTGAACTCATTGTTGCTTAATATTCACCAAATACTTGGTTGGGCAACATAAATTTGCAAAGAATTGCCTGACTGAAATATAGTCCATGTGTTCCTATGGATACAAGAAAAAAAAATCTATCCTCAGAATAAACTTCACAAGCCCAAAACTGCACATCTGGACCATATGGTTTGTTCTCTTGTAAAACTGTTTTTATTGAATGTAATTTGGCATTATGTCATCATTGGCCCACGCTAACAGCCACTATAAAAAATAGCCCTATGAAATCCATCTAATGTTATGGATATCACTGAGGATGCTGCATTGTTCTCTTTTTGGCTATCTATAGTGAAAAACTCTTTAGTTTCAGCACTACCAAAAAGGTTCATTTTCCTTTTCTTGAGAGGTAATATGAATATGTTCTTGATTATGTTCTCATTTTTGCCTAATTTCCAGAAAGCTTAGAGGCCAAATGCCTATCTTAGCATTTTTTAGACCTTTAATTATGTATTCTCTTTCTCCATTTGCTGTTGACTTCAAATTACTTATCCAAACTTATTTTCTTCTAAATTTATGGTTATTAATTTTGTCTTTTATTTCATATAGTGAGTCACTTTGAATCTATTCTTCAATAGATGAGGAATAAATGAATAATTAATAAATTTATTCTTTCCTCTAAGTTCTTACTAAATATTGTATATGTTTCTAGTATTGCTTTTGTCTTCACTTATTTGAATTTACATGTGTGCCATTGATACTGGTCAATAAGCTCTTTTTTATTTAATATTTTTTTAGTTGTAAATGGACACAGTTTCTTTATTATATTTGTTCATTTTATATGTGGTTCTGGGGATTGAACCCAGTGCCTCATGTGTGCTAGGCAAGCATTCTCCCACTGAGCCACAACCCCAGCCCAGTAAGCTCTTTTAATGTATGGTTCCTGTCTTATTAATAGTACTATTTGTCTCAGCACAGTTAGAAAGCCTGGCTAATACTATGTGTACAAATAACCTATAAGATTGAACTGATATCTAAATAGAAATAAGAAATGCAATACTTTGAGAAAGGAAATGCAACACTGATCTCTTCAAACCCACAGCAGGTCAACTTTTTGTAAGTATATGACAACCTTGGATTGTTCATAGTAAAGATAAAAACCCTGATCAGCTGTGAAAAGAATTTCCAGCATGTTATGGTTTAGATATGAAGTGTCCCCCAGAGTCTCATGAATTGAAGGCTTAGTCCCCAAAGCAGCAGTGTTTAGAGATGGGGATTTGGGAAAGTGATTGGATTATGAGGGCCCTGACTTCATCAATGAATTAATCCACTAAGGAATTCATATTTGATGGTGTTATTGGGAGACAGTTGGAAACTATAGACCTTGGGGTCTGATTGGAAGAAGTACGTCACTGGGGGCTGATCCTGAAAGGGTGTATCTTACCTACAGCCCATTCTCTATATCTACTTTTTGGCTACCATACAGTGAGCATTTTCTTCCACTACATCTCTCAGTTATGATGCTCTGCCTTGCCTCAGCCCAGAGAATTAGGGCCAGCTGACCATGGACTGAAACCATGAGCCCAAACAAATATTTTCTCCTCTAAGTTGTTTTTCTTAGGAATTTGTCAAAGCAATGAAAAGCTGACCCATGCACCTTTGAAAATATTCTGCTTTATTCTATTTCTTGTGGCTGTTATTCAACCTAATATTAAACTAAGTTCCATTTCTCTCCGTGTGTGCGTGTGTGTATGTGTGTGTTCAGGTGGGAGACCATGGACATAGACAATAAAAACCTGTAGGAGATAAACATCTTTCTCTTTCCATGTGTAATATATATATATATATATATATTTACTACATGAATATATATTCTTATATGCATACTATATATATGTAATATGCATATGGTAGATATATAAAACTTTGCTTGGTATATGTATATATTGGTTATGTTTCATGTGAACCTAAGATTTATATGTGTGTGTGTGTGTGTGTGTGTGTGTGTGTGTGTGTGTGTATATATATATATATATATATATATATATATATATATATATAATTCATGTAGATATATGCACACATGATGGAATTATACAAATTCATAGACATATTTATAACAATATAGGTCTTAGTAACTCTGTTTGCTAAAATAAAATTTTTTTGATGATTTTTTTCCCATGGCACAACATTCTTTTGTTTTTGACTTTTCTAGTCTAATTTGCTCCTAGTAGTGTTCATTCCTTGACCTCCATAGTAAACTTTTTCTTGTATCCACTTTTTGGCTTACTCCATCATCTCTCCCTGATCAATTTTATTTCTATAAATCCTTTATCTACACAATTCTAGCCCATTTCTTTCTAAGTACCAAGCACACATCCACCTTCCCCATAGACAGTTTTTTACTACTATTAGCATTATTTCTTCTACTGAATTTATTATGCCTTGATACTCCCAAGGAATTACTCCTTCTCCTAAATACCTTCCATTCATGATTGTCATTTCCACCTTCCTATCCCCCAAGCTAGATGTTGAGAGTGACTATTATCTTGTTATGCTTTCTTATTACTCTTCTCAATAGCCAGTCTGTCTCTATCAGCTCCTCATCTTACTTTCTAAATATTTCTAAATCCTCTCTTGTAAATCATCCTACCACCCATTATCTTCTAAGGTAATTTAGGTGCAAACCAAAATTATTCCAGTATTCTCCAAAAACAGATTCTTTCTTTTTTTAATTGCTGATGTTTAAAATGCAATTATTACCATATATCATACTTGCTTAAAATTCTTTATTGGCTCTGCACTGCTCACGAGATCGATTTCCTTCTCTTTAGCATGGTGTGTGCAGTTTCTGCCTCTTCTTCTACTTTTATCTGAGGAGAAAACCTCCAGCAATGCCTCAAATACGTATGATTCCATGCATACACTATGCTGTTTCCAGTATCTAAGATTTTGTGTACCACTCTTTCCCTGAGGAATTTCTCTTCTCTTCTTTGACCATCCAGGTAATGGGAAGAACAGTGGTGTTGAGGTCTAATTTAAATTTGAGTTCCAGCCTCACCACCTGATGTCCCCAAAACTATACTGACAAGAAATGGCTCAAAGCATGACGGATATATCTCTGCATGTAAATCATTATCAAGCCAACCTAATTAATTATTTATAAAAATAAACACTTTTACTTTAAAAGGGATTTAAGGTTCTGCTAAATAACTATTTACAGATAGTAACAGATTTGCATTCTGAGTGAACTGACAGACTTATATGGGTTGCTATCATTAGCTAGTCCAGAAATATCTAAATAAATTATATTTCATATTTGAAAAACATATTATCAAAGTAATTAATATGTTCCCTCAGGTGAGTATTTTAATTAATTAGATATATGTATTCTAAGTTATACAGGTTGAAGTGTTGCTTTGTGTGTTTGGAATCTGTGTATGTATGCATGTGTAGGCATGCATGCACACACACATATAAGTTTGGTTAGTTGAGCCCAGGGGCAGATTTCCAAATCTATATTTCCTTATATGCATTTTCATTAGAGAATAGGAAGAAAAAGATTTATGCTTATTGGCTGGTATATACCACAAATTATTCTACAACTTGCAACCTATGATGGCTGTTCTCTCAGTCTGAAAACTGCAACCATGTGCTTCAGAGGTCAGAGGAGTCCTGCAACTGGAGCAATCCCTTCCAGTGGTATTTAGGAGGTAGAGAAATGGTATAAACATCACTGTGGCAATTAAAGAATTTTAGTTCAGAACATGCTAGAGAGATATATAGGACAAGTAGAATCCACATAGCTAAGTGAAGTCCACTGATGCTCACTAGCCTGCTACAACGCAAGCCAGGCTCTGAGACTGCTAATGGTCCATTTCAGTTGGAAAATTTGAGCTTTATATAGGGAGATGGTTCTCTTGAGATCTCCTCAGAAAGATAATCTCCGGAGATAATCTCCTCAGATAGAACCAGAAGGGGTCTCATGAACCTAAAACAACTTTTGGTAATACATCATTCATAGTGAATGAAAATTTGTTGTTAGCTCTTCCTTTGGTTTTAAGTCATAGAATAAAGTAAAATACATTGATTAGAATTAACTTCTTTATGATTGGCAGGATAACAAATGACTCAAAGTGTTTTACTTGTACTTAACTGCACTTAAATCTTTTTTTCTTCAGTAAATATACTACAATGGAAAATTTAAATTTTATTTTCATAGATAAACAGCAAAATCTCTAAGTAAAAATATTTTTATTGCTTTTGACTACATTGCTAGTGA